AATCCCCAGGGGTGGGACCAGTGGACTCAGGAGATGCTGTCTCCTTCCAGTCATCAAAAGGAAAGTTCACTGGGTACAAACGCAGACTGGAAACACGGGCCAGAAAGATACACAGTCTAGTCCAAATCACATTTTCTGCTTAGAGAGAAAGAAATAGAAAAGAACAGGAATAGCTTATGCTGAAAGGTAAGACAAATCCCGTTACAGTTTTGAACCTATGGATTGCAGGGTCAATGGCACACTGATTCTTATTCCAGGCAGTTGACAAACATTGCTCGGGTCTCTGCAGCAACTGTTGAAAATCCGGTATTTTCATGCCTATTTTAAGGGTGAGGAGTAAGCCTATCCTTCTACAAGGAAGCTAGGATTTCGAGAGGCCAATACTAGTACCTTATATGACACTTTTACTACACTCCAGTAGTAAACTTATTAACCCTCGTACATGATCCTCATTTTATAGATGAGGAAACTGAAGCAACAGTGGTTAAGCAACTTACTCAAGGCCTCAGAGTTAATAAGGGGGTAGATTTTTGAATCTACAGCTTATAAATCTAGCTCCCGAGCTTAAACAATTAACCCCTGAGTTGTGATGCCTTTTATTGCTTGGCAGTGATCATTCTACTCTTAATCAATGCACTCAAGGCCAAACATTAGCACATTCAGTGGCCAGAGAAAGCAAGCCAATTAAGTTATGGATATTGAATAAGATCAAGCAGTAAACTGCGAATCAGTTACTTTGGACAGCTTGTGTCTACAAAGGTGAACTCTATAGTGAAGCTTGGTCCTTTTGAGAATTCCAGGGGACATCCAGGTGTACAGTGACAACAGTGGGCCAAAGACAACCTTAGGAAGCCCCAACTTAAAAGGCAAGGAGAAGAGACGCCCATAAGGGACACAGAATAGGAGATAGATAGATCAATAGATGGATGGATGGATAGATAGATAGATGGATAGATGAATGGATGGATGGATGGATGATATATATCTTATTCTTATGATATCACACCCTATAATGTATTATATATCCTATTATATTAAAAACCAAAAAACAAAGTCACTGCCATCAAGTCAAGGCTGACTCGTAGCGCCCCCTATGGGTTTCTTAGGCTGTAACTTTCAGGGGAGGAGAAAGTCCAGCCTTTCTTCTGCAGAGCTTCTGGGAGTTTCCAACAGCCGACCACGCAGATCACAGCCCAATATGTAACCACAACACCCCCATTATATCTTATTATATTAAATCCTATTATTATATCCTATCACGGTGATATTGTACCCTACCTACGAACAATTTTGAACACTATCCCTAGGTGAGTCTTATGAAGCTTATGCAGTTCTACCAAACCACACAAGTTCACCACAGACTCAAATCAACTCGGTGGTCACGGGGTTTTATGTGGGTGAATAACCTTGTGCTGGAGCACTGCCACGTCTAGTCTTTCCCTGTGGCTGGTGGCTGTGTGCACACGACAGCAGAAGCGCTGAGCGTGGCAACAAAGTTCCTCCGGAGTGTGAGCCCGAGAATATTGACTGTCTGACTATATATATACTGTATATACATGGAAAAGAAAAAAGTCTTTTTGTGCCATCCTTTTGTCTAGAACATGGGCCTTGGCTGCTTCATCTCCTCCCTGCCCTTGCTCATCCACTGCAGTGGGGAAACGTTTCAAATCCAAATCAATAAAGCATTCAATCATTCTCGTCTCCTGGGGCTGCGGACTTTGTGCAGCCCACCATGTAACCATCATGCCGCCAGGACTCATCCAGATAGATAGAGCATTGGAGCAATTCAAGCCCGGAGGCTGGCGGGAATGTGCATGTTGGGTCCCAGGAGATGAGAAGGCCGAGAAATGTTCACAAGCGAACCCCAAACACACTGCCAGGGAGCTGATTCTGACTCATAGACACCCTATATAGGGTTTCTGAGACTATCAGTTTTTTGG